TTCAAACTTTTTTAAACAAATGAGTTTGGTTTTGGTGAATTCATACTAAAAGCTGCAGAATTTCATACGAACTATAATTTGGAATGGAGGGAGTACTCCGTATTTCATTGACTGGATCTACTTGCCATACCCTCTCACATGGGGTGAGAGCTTTGGAGTGCATGTGCAACTTAACAAGCGCTAAGCTAAGCTCATTTCTCTCTTCCAGTTGATATGTAAATTGTCAGCGCAGCCATAGTGCGCAATGATACAAGAGCTACACCGACGCAGGCATCAGCAGCAGCCATGTAAAACCATGTTCAACTTAACAAGCCGGACGTACTGTCAACAGTTAAACTTTATCGTTTTGTACTTGTACCTAGCTACTCAAGCAGCCGCGGCGTCGGGCGTCGGTGTAGCTCTTGTATCATTGCGCCGCCTTCCACTGTTGTCGCTGCACCCGCCGATCCCTCGCTCTCGGCCTAGGGCAGTACGTACTAGGGCTTACCAACCACTCGCGGCCGCCGGTGCAGCGCGCGCCGTAAGATGGCAGTGCCGCGGGCGCTAGGGGACGAGCAGAGCAATGAGGCAAGAGCAGAAAGAGCAAAAGCCCGTGGCCCGTGGCCGTATGGGTGGGTGGCGCTCGCCGGCTCGTCGCGCAGAACGCGGCGCGAGTCTGCTCTAACGTAGTGCCACGTTCGTTTGGCTGATAAGCCATGACTAAAAGTATCGTTGATTGATTTATTGTGAAAAAAAAATACTATTTATTAACTAAAAAATACAACTTATAAGTCAAGGGCAAACAGTACATAGTTTGGCAGGAGCCACGAGGGGAAGGGTCCGTACAAGCAGCTGTTCAGTGTCCGAATCTCGTCCGTGGGACTGTGAATTTGTTTGTCTGCTTTGTGCTGCTTTTTCCTGTGGAGAGTCTACCAGCGTGTGTTCCTCGCCTCCTGTCGCATGAATTCTTTTCATTTCAGGCTGGTGGTAGTATATATCTTCCGTGCAGAGTTTGCTCACTTACTCTTGCCCCCAACCATATGCAGAATTCGTATTTCGTAGCACTTTTTTTTGTGACTATTTCGTAGCACTTGTGGGGCTTACAGAATTAGCGCTCCTCGCAATTCGAGTGGCAGCACCCCTTCCCTTTGACGACCCAGAAGAAGAAACTATTCACGTTCTCCTGCGTCGCTGCGGCACCGCTGGTGGTCGGTGGACCGGCCGCTGTCCCTGTGTCCTAGCCTCCTGGGCCAGATGGGCACCACACAGTGACACAAGCAGCTTTACCTCAAGTTAATAAATGAACAGTGAGAATAAGCCTGCACCTGATCGTTTTCTTAAGAGACCTTAAAGTAAACAAACACCGTCCATTTTCAACCTACGCTGCGCGTGCGGTGTTTGCTTCCTGTATGAGTTGAAACGCGTATTTATGTCAAGTACGATCGCACGCTTCATCCATTTTGGCTTCTAGCTCAGTAACAATATGGAGCCAGAGTCAAAGAAGCCATAAAACATGGTTTTATACTTTCGTGGGGCTCAAAACGTATTTCGTGAAAAAAGGAGTTTTTGTAAATAGTGCTGCTACATTAGGGTTTGTTGGGATCTCTTAAGGAAAATGAGAATGAGATTCAAACACTTGGATACTTGGCCCACGTGTAGACCACTGTATTTTTATATGGACCAAAATAACCCTGCTACTCTCCTCACTCACTGACATGTGGGTCCCACTCGCCATCCCCTTCCTCTCCTTCACTACGCGACCTCGCTGAGCCGTTGCCCACCATGCCCAGGCTGTGTCTTGCAGTGGAGCCGCAGGAAGCATAACCGATCAGACCGGTAGTACACACTGCACACACAGTGTTGATATATACTCTCTCCGTCCCCAAATGAATAACTTCCGAAGGTTTAAAATTTGTCAAAAAAAGAAAAACAACATTATACACAAACATGGAACATTGTCTTCTAATACGAAAGCTAATCCATGAGTGCATGCAAACGATAACGGCCTAATTCAAGGGATATCATCCAGGAAATGAAAAGAGACGATGATACATGTGTCTTTTGCCGGCGTCTTTATTCTGTCTGAAAATTTACAAAAACTTATTTATTATGGGGTGGAGGGAGTATATGCATGTACTGATTGGCTGATTGGGCGAATTGGTATTCCAAAAATATGCGATTACGTGGATGTGTAAAGGATGCAGGAGATGTAGGCGTAACTAATTAACTAACTGATGGCAGCTCATCATCACTGTTTCTGTTTGGGTCAACATGCACGCATTGCATGGTCATTTTCATCATTCTTTCTTTGATGGGTCACCAAAGCAGAGCGTCGTCGTTACATTCATTTCCTCTCTGGTCGATGGAGTCATGGAGGGCAGCTCAGACTCAGACGACGACGCACACCATGGAGAGTTGGAATGGAACGGTTGTTGATGATTGCACGCAGCTACTTACATACTACACTGAACAAGAAAGTCTCTGCATGCACTGCACTACTCCTATGTGCATCTGCTGCCCATCATCATTCATCAACATCACAAGTCAAACTGTTGCGTATGAATTTTCCGTTAGTTGATTAGATCGTTAATTTAGCTAGATCAAGTAAGGCTAGGCTACCAAGATATAGGGGGTGTTTGCTTCGCACGCTGGATATCGCGTTTGAAGCAGGCAGCGATCGATGCCCGTCATTTTCAACGTCTGGGGCTAGACGTGGTTGCCTGGCCGCGGCTCGCCAAATGACCTCTTATTTTGTAATCTCCTATAAGAATTGGGGCATGGAAGTCCTATGATTTGTAAATCGAGGCTCGTATAAATCCATCTAATCAACTTAATCAACATGCGAGACATTTGAGATTTGAGTTTAATTTCTTCTGGCGCCCAAGGTAACAATAGCACTATGCACTAGAGTTGAAGTTTTGGGTGGGCCAAAACAGCAAGTTATTATTATTTTAAGGGTAAAATCCAATTTATAACCTTGAACTCTCTCGCCAAAGTCCGGATTTCAACCTCAAACTCCAAAACCGGATAACTTTGGCCCTCAAACTCTTGAAATCGTTCAATTTTCAACCCTGGGCCGGTTCCTGGGCGGTTTTGGTGTATGAACAGTAACTTTTGATATTTTCGGGAGACGTCGAAATTTTATATTATTTATTTGAGCATCTTAACGTCCTCAAATGAAAAAACTCAAAACTACAAAGTTGTAGATCTCATTGAGAGCTACAACTTTGAAATATAAAAACCTTTTCATTTATGTCCATGAAGATAATATTTATATCTAAATTGTAGACTTAGTATGAGATTATTATGGTGCTGAACTTTATAGTTTTAATTTTTTTATCATTTTAAGTCCTCAAGATGCTCAAAAATTAATATAAAATTTGTAGATCTCATAATAATCTACAATTTACATAGCGCTATTATCTTCATTAGCACTAATATATTATTTGTATGGAGTTAAATGAAAATACTTTTTATACCAAAGTTGTAGCTCTCAATGAGATATACAACTTTGTAGTTTTGAGTTTTTTCATTTGAGGACGTTAAGATGCTCAAATAAATAATATAAAATTTTAGCGTCTCCCAAAAATATCAAAAGTTACTGTTCATACACCAAAATCGCCTAGGGACCCGCCCAGGGTTGAAAATTGAACGGTTTCAAGAGTTTGAGAGCCAAAGTTATCCGGTTTTGGAGTTCGAGGTTGAAATCCAGACCTTGACAAGAGTTCAAGATTGTAAATTGAACTTTACCCTTATTTTAATTATGATCTAGCAGTAATTTTATTGCCCGACCGCAGCTTCCAGGGAGGCTGCGAATCAAACAAGCCCATATTAAACCTATTTGTTACAGCTTATAAGCTGTTTATTATTACCAAAATAAGCTAAAACCAAACAATCAAACGGTACATGTTTTTGCAGCTTATTTGGTCGTGTTTATTCCCACAACACTCATTTGTTATAAAAAGCCAAAGCTGGATTAGACCATTTTATTTTAACCGTCGCTTTTATTCTATTTATGTAGCTTATGTGTGAAACGCTTTCTGAATAAGATATATGGAGTACTAAACAAGGCCATTATGTAATCTCCCAAGAGCTGAGTTGAGGCATGGACGTCCTATGTTTTTTGGTTCAGATTGAGGCTCAAATAAATCCATCAATAAACTTATCCACACGCAGCATCTGAGATTTGAGTTTTTTTGCAGCTTATTTCGGCCACGTTTATTCTCACAACACTCATTTATATATAAAAAAGAGAAGTTTGATTAGACCAATTTATTTTGACCGTCGATTTAATTGTATTTGTGTAGCTTATTTGGGAAACGTTTTCCGAATAAACTATACCAAACAGTTGTTTGGGTCATTATCGCCGTGTTCGCTGGTCTGAAATAATCAGACCAGCCGGCTGGTTGCCACTCATTTTACTGTTTATAAAAACCAGTCAAACAGTGTTTTTCTCTCACAAAACCAGTCAGTTTCAGCCAAGTTTCAGACCAGCGAACGGGGCTTATGTAATCTCCAAGAGCTGGGTTGAGGCACGGACGTCCTATGTTTTTTGTTCAGATTGAGGCTCAAATAAATCCATCTAATTAACTTATCCACACGCGGCATCTGAGAAGATTTGAGTTTTTTTGGGGGGTAAAATCTGATATGAGTTTAATTTCTTCACTGGCGTCTTAAAATGGAACTGAGTACTAAATTTTAATTTTTTGGTGGGCCAAAATAGCAAGTTTTTATCATATAGTGATCGAGCACTAATTTTCTTCCATGGCGAATCGTCAGTTTCGATGGAAAAAACGATATTTGATTTGCGAATTCTCAGTTACATCGCTCGTCAAAATCAGACATAATTAAATCCTTTTGCATTTCTCAGTTTGATGATTGATTTTGATTAAAAAAACACAGGCTTTGATAAACGACATTTCGGCAATTTGAACTGAACAACAGCCGCATAGATCTTCACTGCAGTAGCCAGTAGTAGAGGTGCGCGATCTCGATAATCAGGGATTCCGATTCTGTCAGAATCAGAACTGGCCCCTGCCCTCGAAGCTCTGGCCGAAGGCCCACCCGGACGGCACGGCGTCGTCGAGCACGACGGCGCGTCCGTCGCTGGCGACGACGCGGAACGAGAGGCCCTCCCCGACGCTCCGTCCATCCCCGTTCGTCCAGACCTGTCCCCAGCTGCGCGCCATGTCGATCCACTGCCCGCCGTCCCGTGACCCCTTCGCGGCGACGGCCTTGACGTCCCCAGCCCCGGCGACGTTGAACACGAGCACGGCGACCCACCACCGGTTGCCCTTCATCTCGAACCGCACGCCGCCGCGCTTGGCGCACGCCACGCGGCGGTACTGCACGGGGATGATCCCGACGTGGAAGTCGGTGACGAGGCGCAGGAACATGGGCTTGGACAGGTCGAAGTGCCGCAGCGGCGGGTTGCACCAGTTCTCGTTCGGCTTCGAGTAGTTCGCCGGGCACAGGTTCGTCGCCGTCACCGTCACCGGCGCGCCGCCGGGGGCGCAGAACGTGCTGCCCTGGCACCGTATCTCGTAGCAGCCGCCGCACGACCAGCCCTCGTTGAAGAGCGCCACGCTTAGCGCCGTCGTCTCCAGCCCGTACCCCTGCTGGAACAGATCGCCGTAGCCGCACGCGCCCTCTGCATGCATCAATGCATGCACCGATTGAGAAAAAAAAGGTTGAAACTAGACGTAGAACGTTCGTGCGTGTGCGTGATGAACAGCAGAGCAAGAGGAATCTTACGCATGGTGTCGGCGCCGCTTTCGTCGCCGTAGAACGTGGCGTGTGCCTCCTGCCACTGCTGCCAGGCGTCGCCGCCGGCCGACGACAACGCCGGCAGAAGCAGTAGCTGCAGCGCCGCCACCACCGCGGCTGCCGCCGCAAAGCGAGACGACGACGCACTAGTGTCCATGTAAGCCACTGACGAAACAAGCTTTTGGACTGGTGTAGCGTGCAGCCGTGTGCTGTGGTTCAGATCATTGCCAGAGCCAGGTATATATATAGAGCTGGCGAGCAGCCAATGACAGTCTTTTTTAATCTGGTCTTTTTCTTTTTGCGCGTTGACGAAATACTTCAAGTTGTAAGTAGCAAGATTTCCGATTTTGCTAATTGGCAATCTGCTGTAAGCGATGAAATCCCATGGGAAGATTTTGCATTAATCACTGTTTATGAATTTCCGTTTGGAAGTATATATTTGTTGCTGGAGATACTGTATATCTTCGAGATTTCCATGGGCACAATATTATTCTTTAAATAATCTCTATATGTATGCAGGTCATGACAGTTACTCACACGTATTCAACGCGCTGTTGTGGTTTGTCAAACGTCAATATGGGTCAATGCGTTACGACGGCGGAGAGATTTGCATTGTGAATTTGTGAATTTGGCACACAGCATTAGTTCTCGTATATCTTATAATTCACCATCTACGCACAATATTAGTTCTCGTATATCTTATTCAACGATTTGGCCAGAGATTGATTAACATGACTTGAAGTGCCACTGAAAATGGAACCTAGTATTACTTTCCCCAACGGAGGATAATAGATTGTCAACAAGGATAATATCACACTTTCTCAAGAAACACGCTAAAAAAGATAAATTCTATTTTTTAATAAAAATTATAAGGATGCTGTCACACACCAAAGCACTAGAGCACGCGGATTGCCAAATAGCACCTTGTCGCGTTGCGGGTATACAGCTTACTCATACGTCATTGCTGCAACAGCTAGTGTAGCGCAACGACTCCTGTATTTACTGTTTTTGCGTGAAGGAAACAAGCAGCTGCAGTTTCTTCTAGAAGGAGGGTAGCCGAGCAGGCCCATAAAATTTTGACTTACAAAAACAGTCACGTGCATTAGCCATCCTTGACGTGCTACTTAGGTCCACAAATCCCAAAATGTATTTCTAGGCCATTAAATTTATTAATTTTCAGTTCACGGTAGTCCCATACCACTTTGTTAGAAGTATTTTGCTTACGCGGCACACCATCATGGTAGGTATTTTTAATTAGCTCCTTCTTCCCATTTCTTTTACAAATGGGGCCTTTGGCTTCTCCTCCTCTTCTCTTCTCCCGCGACTGCACAAAGCACGCCGGCCCTTTCCAACCTATGCTATGGCTAGGCCACACCAACAGTGCTCAAGCTCGTGCCCACGTATGCTAGGGGTCACCAACAGTGCTCACGCACATGCCCGTGCCTGTGCAACACCTACAGCCGAGCTTGTGCCCGTGTGTGGCAACTCGCTTGTAATAGCGTGCGCCGGCAGTCGGGCTCGCGTCCGCGCGTCGCGGGTGGATGAGGAAACCGGGCACGAGCTCGCCGAATAACCGCTGTCCCTATGCAGCCAGATCTCGCTAGCATGGGAATGACATCGAGCTTTGCTGGCCATGGCAGTGCAGACATACGTACACCTGCACTCGCCCCCAATCTCACCAGGTGTGCGTGCTCCTCCCTCTTGGTCGTGCACGGCCTCGCTCCTGTGTGGTACATTATGACAAGTTATTGGACTGTTGATGCATTTAACTCTAGAAAAAATAATAATCAATTTAAAAAAAAATAAAAGTATACTATTTTAAAATAAATGTGACAATCGATATTTTGAAATCAAAAGTATACTGCTGCTGATACTTCATATTTTAAAATTAAAATGAAAGTATATGTGTTGACGTGGCAAACTTATACTAACCTAGCATGAGTACCCCTAGCACTCACCACTGCCTCATGCCAAAAAAACAAAAACAAATAAACATACTATAAATAAGAATCCCGCTGCGATCAAAATAAGGCACACTAAGCAAAGTCACTTAGAAATTCACTGTCCTATAATTGAATTGCTCAAGCACAAGAAAAAATATGGGCCGAAGAATAACAGCTAGATGGGCCAAATCACAAATGAAAGCCCAATGAAGCAGATAAATCCGGGGCGGAGGTAAAAAACAAAGGCTATCTCCGCAGAAATTTCATAGCAATCTCACAAGAACCAGTTCAATTTCAAAGAAAAAAAAAATGCAAGAACAGGAATTTTTCCCTCAATCCAAACAGGCTCTAAGCCAATGAAACAAAGGAAAAACAGACCACGACAGCAGCGCGGAAGGAAAGTTGCAGCAGTTGCACGAATCCTGAAGTGATTAGATTGACAGAAGCTTGACTTGCGAATGGAAAGGAAATTAGCTGGCTAATGTCTACAAATTCTGTTTTAGGGTATGGAACTGCGCTAGTATCCGGACGCTCGCCCTAGCTACACCTGCTCGCGCATGCACATGCACGTCTTCACATGGAGGCCCACGTCGCTCCATTTCTCGTGCATGCGCGAGCCCACGCGGGGCCATGTCTCGATCTGCGCCCGCTCTCGTTTCCCACGCCTGCCGCTCGCGCTCCTCCGCTCCCACACGCATGCATGCGGGCACAGCAGCTGCAAGCAGGTGGCTGTGGCAGGTGGGTCCCACTACAACATTCAAACATTAGATTTACTTTTGCAACATCCAAATGAAACCTTTGCAACATACGTCTAAAACAGATGAAACATTTGTAACATACAGTTGAAACACCATTGCAACACATGCAACATCACGATCTACTTTTGAATCGTCTAGATGCAACACTTGCAACATACAAAATAAGACAAATAAAACACTTGAGACATGCGTCTGAAACACTTGCAACACACATGTTCAAAAAATAGATGAAACATTGGGGATAGATGCTTGCAACATATGTGTACTACCATTGCAACATGTGCAACATCACGACCAAGTTTTGCAACATCCGCATGAAACATTTGAAACATACATTTGAAACAACTGAAACACTTGAAACATAGGCTTGCAACATGTCCGAAAAACGTCTAGAAACACTTGAAACATAGCATCGCCGCGCGGCCATGACCTACCTGATGGGGAATTACGGTGGCGCAGGCCTCCCTTCCTACCAACGACGTGAAGTGGACGGGGGTGCAGGCGCAGGCCTCCCCTGCTTACCCTTCCGTGACGGGCGAGGTGGATCGGCGCGGCGCTGGATGGTGGCCCTCCGGTGGAGAAGGCCGTGGGGGGCCCGACACGAGCTGTCGCTGCTCCGATAGAGAAGGCAGACGACGATCTGGAGAAGGTCGCAATGGGGCGGAGGCGCGGTGGAGAGGAAGGAAGGCGGGCAGTCGGGAGGCGCAATGGAGGGGGATCAAGGCGGGCAGCCGTGCTCGGACACGCGGTGGAGATGCTGGCCGTCGGGCCCTCGGCTGCCGTGGAGAACGCCGGGCGGTCGCGGCGAAGCGCGTCCGCTCGAGCTGCGGTGATTTTTTTTTGGAGAATGGAAACAACGGGCTACGATTAGGGACTTGTGGACGAGAGGCTACGAGTATTAGGTCATTGGGCTAGTGTCGTGGGCCGCGAATGGGAGGGTCCGGAGGATTGGAAGTCCTTACCGTAGGGTATATATATCACGTTTTTGCCATTCTACTTTCCTAACATTCTGGTTCTTTCGGTAGCAGTTATATGGTTCTGTTGCGAAACTCATATACATGATAAAAAACGCTAATAATACACCTCAGAGTGAATCCTGAGATTTCTGAAACAAATGCAAGCAGCCTTGAATTATACACCTAGCTAGGTTATTCATTCGCACTTCTACTTGGACTGTGCAGACATAACACCATTCTCTCTTTTGTTTTCTGAATCAAGGAGGGTAGAGGAGCTCTGCCATTCATCAAAGAAAAGCTATATAATTATATAGGGCACCAAAATAATCCAGCATAGGCATGCCACCGAATCGACTAATCATGCTACTATACAAGCATAGTGCACGCACCTTTTACACTGTTCTTAGCTGATTATTAAGCGTCACTATTCTCAGCTAGAATTAATAAAGCTTGGGAAGGCACTAGCATGACGTACGCTTGGCCACTTTTCAGAGACTGTGCTGCCATCTGAATTTACTGTTCGAAAAACTAACACTGAAAGATTAGCTAGATCCCATTTGGGATTTGGCCGGGAACCACTACACTGACAGGACCCCCCAAGATCACAGTACAGCACGGAGAGTGTCAGAGTGTGGAACAATCACGTACTGTACGTGCAAACAAGTAAAGATGAGCGAGCTTCACGTTCAGGGAGCAAGCAGGATGATGATTGCACTGGCTACCGACAACACGCGAGGACGGGCAAGAGGGCACGATTAGGATTAGGACCAGAGCACCTCGACCTGATGTCACTTTATTAGCTCCCCAAGTCAATACAGGGAAACTAATGATCTGTTCGTTTGGCTGATAAGCTATGGCTAAAAGTACTGTTAGCTGATTTATGGTAAAAGAAAAATACTATTCGTTGACTAAAAAAGTACGGCTTATAAACCCAATGATCGTGGCGTACTCCTACGTACCTACACACGATATTTATGAAAACAGTGATGAGTCGATGAGCATGGGCACGCAAGCTAAGCGAATAGGAGCCGGCGGTCAGCGCGTGCAGTGCAGCTTCGTTCTGCCGTAGGGTAGCTTGGTAGTAGGGAGATGGTTCGCTAGCTAGCTATCGCTAGGCTCCAACATGCACGAGCCCTAGCCGGCGGACGACAGAGGGTTTGTTCATCTGCCATTTCTGCTAGCCTTTTGTGCCCTGCCCGGCCTGTGGATTCAGTCACCGCTTATTAGTAGGTCGTCGCCGCCGCTGTTCATCCGTGTGCTTTCTGTTTTTTCAGATAATGGAATAGGAACCACCTATTGTTAACTGTTGAAATTTTACGTGCTGTCCCTGTTCGTTTCTGCTCTGAATATGATCTATCTATATATAGTTTATCTTCCATTGTATGCTATGTTAGGTAAAAGGAATGGATCGAAGCATACATGTGTATGTCGGTCATGCATCACGCATGGCCCTGTGTTGTGCGTATATATCTTACCCATGTTAGCTTGGTGGTTATGGAA